CCCTCAGGGGTACCGATTCCCCCCTGTCTAACGGTCAAAAACATATTGCACTTAGGGAACCGATTCCCCATGAGAGGGTATCGATTCCGCCCACGCTCCAAGTTATTTTATTAATTGTTTCTCATCTCCAAACGGCTCCAAAACATCCCCAACGGCTATATACGACTTCAAACACATTCCAAGCTATAAATACAACCTAAGGACACTTGAAGATGCAAGAGAACAACCATCCAAGCAATCAAACACAAGAGAAGAGTTTTTCATTCTTATTTCATCTTTCTCTTATAAATATTTTGTTCTTGTGAGCTTAATTCTTGTAAACACCTACCTTAGAGTGGTTTTCTTGTTTACATTTCTTATCCTTTTGTAAAGGGTAAAGATTCTAGCTAATCCCGTGTAAAAGCTAGAGCAAAGGTTCTAGTTTAGCCCGGAAAAACTAGGGAGTTTGTAAGGTTACTCTTTATCCTCAAAAGAAAGAACAAATTAGTGAATTTGTTGGAAAATCCTTGGTGAGGATCTAAGGTAGTGGACATAGACTTTGGTTGAGAAAGTCGAACCACTATAAATCATTGTGCAATTCTCTATCTTTCAATCTTCTTACTCCCTAAACACAAAACCATTCCAACCCCTCTTTGCAAACCGTTCCGGTTGTCAATTCGAGCTTCCAAAAATCCTAACAATTGGCATCAGAGCCTAACTCATTAAGAAGGTTTAACCACCTTGAGACGATCCTAGAAGAAGCTCTACCAATTCCCGACACAACCGAGAAGATGGCTTCTATCTCCGGCTCATTCCACATGGAAGACTCCCTACCAACGGACAAGCCTCCATACTTCAATGGAGTCAACTATCATCATTGGAAGAAATTAATGAAGGTATTCATCCAATCCAATGATCTTGATGCATGGGAGATAATCGAGAATGGCTACTCTTCTCCAAAGAAGAAGGAGAAGAAGATGAGTGACAAAGAACGGAAGAAAGCTCAACTTAATGCCAAGGTCATGCACATGTTGTTTTGTGCATTTGGTGATGAAATCTATGAAGGGGTTTCTTCATGTTCAAGTGCCAAGGAGATTTAGAGTAAGCTTGAGGAAATCCATGGAAACAAGAAAGAAGAACCAATAAAGGTGGTGTCTCTAATGGCTCGTGAAGAGTCCAAGGTATCTTCTAACTCAAATGAATTTAATTCATATACGTTTTATGAGTTACAAGATACTTTTAATAGGTTATATTCGGAGTTTGAGACCATGAACTCCAAATATAAGAAAATGATTTCAAAATTTAAAACCGAAAATGATTTTCTTTTGAAAACAAAAATAGATTTTGAAAGCTAAAATGAAATTTTGAAAATGGATTTAGAGCTTTCAAAAATAAAAATTGAAAGTTTTGAAAAAGAAAATCTTGATTTAAAAGTTAAGCTTGAATGCTTAACAAAAGAAAAAGAAATCATTTTAAATAATTTATTTAGTTCAATAATGACAATATGCTCACATTGTCATTATCATGGTCATAAGGAACATACTTGTCCTTTGAAGAAAGGAAAATGTTTTAAAATTAGACAAATATGGGTTCCGAAAGGAACAAGGGGCATTGAAACTAACGTCCAAGGATCCAAATCAATTTGGATACCAAAATCTACTTAAATGTCTCTTGTAGGTGTGTGGGAGCAATGGTGATGAAAATGATGATATTCAAGATGCTCTAGCCACATATGAAAAAGGAATGGATAACCTCTAAGCTTAATACTTTTAATTTTGGTTGTTTGGTTGCTCATTTGATTTTAAGCATGCATGAGTTTTGGTTTTAAATGATTATGCATCATTGTTTTAATCTCATGTATGTTGAAAATATGATTATGATGAACATTTTAAAGATATATTAATTTTTAAGAATTTTTAGTTATCATAATAAAATTTTGGTCAAATTGGTTTTTAATGCAAATGATATCTCTCTAACAATTGATATCAACTTTTCAAATGTTTTGATTTTATAAATTTTAAAATTTTTGACCTAAATTTAAATGTTTATGCATGTGGTTTAAATAAAAATGATATCTCTCTAACAATTGATATCAAAATTTTCAAATGCATAACATTTTTGGAAAACTTTATGCATATGCACTTAATTTTAACAATTGGTATTGATATTAAATTTCAACAATTGGTATTGCATAAAGTATTTTAGTCTTGGATATATTGAATTTCATGTGCTACTAACATGTTTGTTATTCTTTGTTGAAATTCAATTTTATTTAAGTGTCTTGTTCTTAAAGCTAAATTTTATTTGGAATGCATTTATTGAGGGGGAGCTTTGATTTTTTTCAATTGATTTTTAAAATGTCAAATTTACTACTTACTCTCCAAAGTTATTTTGAACTTTAAAAGATTATAGTCTTTTTTATTTAACAAAAAGGGGGAGAAGTGTTAAAGTGTTTTAAAGGAGAGAAGTGTTAAAGTAAGGGGGAGTAATTTTTCAAACTTGATTTCAAAATCTTAAAATTACTCAAATGTTTTGTTATATCAAAAAGGGGGAGATTGTTGAAAACATTTTGATGTTTCGATATAACAAATTTTGTTAAATGAATTTTAAGATTTTACAAAAGATTTTCTAAGTATATTCTATGTAATTATTCGAATATCAAAATATTACTCCAAGTCTTTCAAAGTTCATTTTAATCCTTACTAAAATGTAAAATTGTGTTTTATACTTAAACTATTTCAAAACAATTTTACAAAGTATTTCGAGCCTTAATTGAGCCAAAAATATTTTCTTTTTAAAGGGTTTCAAAAAAATCAGATTGTCCAGGGGGTACAGATTCCCCCTAGGGGGAATAGATTCCCCCCCCAGGGGGTACCGATTCCCCTTATCTAACGGTCAAAAACATATTGCACTTAGGGAACCGATTCCCTATGAGGGGGTATCGATTCCCCCCCAGCTCCAAGCTGTTTTATTAATTGTTTCTCATCTCCAAACGGCTCCAAAACATCCCCAATGGCTATATACGACTTCAAACACATTCCAAGCTATAAATACAACCTAAGGACACTTGAAGATGCAAGAGAACAACCATCCAAGCAATCAAACGAAAGAGAAGAGTTTTTCATTCTTATTTCATCTTTCTCTTGTAAATATTTTGTTCTTGTGAGCTTAATTCTTGTAAACACCTACCTTAGAGTGGTTTTCTTGTTTACATTTCTTATCCTTTTGTAAAGGGGAAAGGTTCTAGTTTAGCCCAGAAAAACTAGGGAGTTTGTAAGGTTACTCTTTATCCTCAAAAGAAAGAACTAATTATTGGAAAATCCTTGGTGAGGAGCTAAGGTAGTGGACGTAGACTTTGGTTGAGAAAGTCGAACCACTACAAATCGATGTGCAATTCTCTATCTTTCAATCTCCTTACTCCCTAAACACAAAACCGTTCCAACCCCTCTTTGCAAACCGTTTCGGTTGTCGATTCGAGCTTCTGAAAATCCTAACATGTTCAATAATTTTAATCAAAATAAATAATTTATAATTAATATTTTATATTAAAATAGAAAATTCATATTACCTTCCAGCAAGTGGAAAGTCAATCGCAGCTCGACTAATCGGTGTCAAAAACGGAAGTCTATGCCATGCCTATGATTGTAACAGCAACATCCATCCATCGATTTCTGTTGTATTATTATCATTCACGACTAATGACACCTTGCACATCTCAAGATACAAGAATGCCAATATCGCCGATCCCCAGCCATATTGCCTACTATTCACAAAATTTCTTAAAAAAAAGAAGATACTGAGTGTGAACATAATTACCAGATTTATCCGGTATCAAAATTTCCCCAATCAACTGCAATATATATGCTCGTGTTGCATATATAATTTCTTGCTCCGTACTATTTGGTTGGAGCTGAAATTGATTTTTCAACCATGACAACCTCACACTCTACCCTTTACACTCTGGTGGTACGAGCGTTTTCCCAAGAAACGCATTGCAAAGTTGTGCCACATTATTGTACTCATGTGTCATTACCACCGGCATCCCATTTGTTTGGACCCCGAGTTGCATTGCCACATCCTCCAGAGTTATCGTACATTCGCCACATGGCAAATTAAACATGTGCGTTTCTGGTCTCCAACGTTTAATCAACGCACTGATCAAACCTGGGACCAACTTGTATTCTAGCACAAATGTTACATACCAAAATCCAGTCTCTTGCAAGTTTTCTTCTATCAATCGGTGTGGCTTGGGCACATTATGTAGCCGATGACGAATGACTTGTTGCTCGTCCTCCTGCAATTAAATAATACAAAAAATTTATCATAATCATAAAATAATATTCAAATATTTATTAATTATAATTCATTAAACAAATATTTTATTCATCATTATTCCCAAATGAGTTGAAATATGTTCATTGTCAAGTCTCAACAGTGGAATTTGGTCAGCCATTGGAATGAATCTGTAAAAAAAATTAAACAACAATATTTATAAAATCATTTAATATAATCTAATATAAACTAAAAACTAACTAACAAGAATATTTTATATAATAACTTATAATATAATACACTAATATACTAACAAACTAAACTTTTTAAAATATAACTTAAACGCAGCCTTAATCAACTAATAAACTATTCTTTTATATAACTTAAACTAATAAACTATTTTTAATTATAATATAACTTAAACTACTGATAAACTAATTAACTAAATTTTTTATATAATATAAATTCAACAATTAAATATAACTTAATTTTTTAACTAACTACAAACTAATTAACTATTTTTTTATATATAATAACTTTTTTTTTTAATATATGACTATCAAACAAACTAATTAAATAATTTTTTTATTTATGTATGATATAACTTAAATTAACAATAATATAATTTAAACTAACAAACTAATTAACTAAATTTTTGTTTTACCCTAAATTCTAAACTAACAAACTAATAATTTAAAATAATAAACTAATTTAAATAAAATAAAAAATTACCTCGATGTTTGCCGGACTCCCTTTCTTCTTCTTCCTTTCCTTTCTCTCGACACTCTTCTCCCTTTCTTTCTTATGCTTCCTTAACCCCATATCATGCCCTACATATTTAAGGGTCGATTGCTTCAATTCATGCACCAATAATTGAAGACATCACGGGTCGTTGGATTCTGGTGGATTGCAGCAATAATTAATGCATGAAGCAGCAAATGATGCTGCATGAAGCAGCGAAAATGATGCAGCGATTAAAGCTGCATGGGAGCAGCGGGGAGCAGGCGAGCATGAGGGGAGCAAGCGCCAGGAATCTCGCCAGTTTGGTCGCCGGGATGACATGGTGGCCTTATAGGTCGCTTGGAATACATGACGACCTCCATTGGGCGTGCATGGCGACCTACACGCATGCAAACTGCAGCAGCTCACCACAGCTCACGGGGATGGCATGGCGACCTCCTTGGTTGCCCGGAGCGCATGTCGACCTGCACCGACACTGTAGAGATCACCCTATCTCAGTAATTAATCTGGCGAGAGCATTATTTCGAGAAAAAAAATTAGAGCATTATCTCGTGGGTTTTGCCGGTTTATTTGATATGAATATAAGATTACAGTGTTTTGATGAAAGAATATAAGATAAAAAAAATGTGTTTTACTAAATTATTCTTGAGATAAATTTTCTTTTTTAACAAATGAAAGTTCATAGAAAACATATTTTTTATTATTTTTAATTTATATTTTTAATAAAATTTGTACACAAATAACTTAATATATTTTTTATTATATTTAATAAATTATATTTACACCAATATAATTATGTGTTTAATTTTAAGTTATAAAATATTGAAAGATGTAATTATGTGTTTACTTTTAAGTTAGGAGATGTACATACAGGGGGCGGAACATAACAAGGACCAAGGGGAGCCTGGGTTTCTACTAACTGATTTTTTAGGGTTAATTAATATTAAAAAAATTATATTTTAACAAATAAATTTTACTTTGCTCCCTCCAACTGAAAAAATATTTTATTTATTAGTTGTTAGATATAATTAAGTTTAGATGTATTGTTGAATAAAAAGTAAAATTTTTATTATGACGATAATAAGTTATTAATATCATTAATAATTACTGTGCATTAATTATTTATTCTCTTTCAAGATTACGACAAGACGCCATTCAAGAGCTCTCTTCAAAATTTCATCTTCAAAGTTTCAAGATTACGGCAAAATAGGTATTTGGGTTTTTTGTTTGAGAATTAATTATTGTATTGTTGTTGTTAATTTTACTTTTATTCATTGATTATAATGTTGGTATTATAGGTCAGAATATGTAAAAAAGAAAACAAATTACGTCATATTTTTTACAAAGTAAAAAAGATAAGATGTTTGAATATCGCACACAATCTACCGTATCAATCGAGTCGATTGATGAAGTTGAATCTGTTGTTACCTGTAGTACTACAACTAATGAGCATCCTCCTCAAGACTCCGAAAAGATTGATGAAGGTATTGATATTAATTCTTTAGTGCGTGATTTTGGTTTGAGTAAACAAATTGAAAATTATGATTGAGAGGAAAGATATCTAATTAGGAGGGCATATGTTGATCCTGAACCATATGAGCCTAAACAAATTTCATATTCATTCTCTGGTCTAAAAAACCGCGTAGATTCCAAAAAAAATTGGTTTGATAAATTTTATTGGTTAGAATATTCCCTCACAAAAGATAATGCCTATTGTTGAAAGTGTGCATTTTCGGATACGGATATTATCCTATCCGAAATTTTGGATTACTAAAATTGTGATCCGTATCTGAATCCGAAAAAACCGGATATTCGGATAACTAGATATCCGATCCGAATATAAACTTTAATTTGGTAAAAAAATTAAATTTAAATCTAATATTTTTTAACTTTATACAATATATTTTATACCTCCAATATATATTTATCAAAATATATTTGAATAATTTTAAACTAAATACTTAATATATATTTTATAGGCTTAAAAATAATAATTTAAAAGCTGAAATAAAATAAAAAAAAAAGAAATAGACTGGATGGAGCAGACTGCAGAGGAGTTGGAGGGGGTGTTGGCCTGTTGGGGTTGAGGGGTGCTGGGATGTGGGTTGGGGCTTAAACTATTGGGCTTGAATAAAATCATCTAAAGGCCCATTGTTTTGGATTTTCAAGTAATTTGAAGTTGAAATTTCATCAATTCGTATTCGATCCGATTATCCGATTTTTTTTTCTCGGATATTCAATCCGATTTATCCAAAAATTAAAAAAATAGATCAAATATTCGAATTTTTGGATCGGTTGAATCGGATTTTTTTACACACCCTACCTATTGTTTTTATTGTTTTCTTTTTGAAAAAAAAAAGCCAGTTGAAAAATGTGGTTCAGATACATTCATTATAAAAGGATTTAAAAATTTGAGGAAAGTTAATTATGGAAAAGATCGAGCATTTTTATGTCACATGGGGAAGGATTTTAATTCACCTCATAACTTTGTTGCAAAATGTTTTTATAATCTAAAAAATCAATCATGTCACCTTGAGAAATAAAATCTAGTAATTAAACGAAATCGGTTGCGATTTACAACATCAATAGATGCAATTAGATGGTTAACATTAATAGAAAATTTGATATATTAAAAAATAAATCATATCAAATTAAATTATATGACAAAATTAATAAAAATAAAATATCATATCAAATTATATGATAAAATTAATAGAAAATATTAAAAAATATAATATGAAAACCTTTTATAAAAATTAACCTTAAATAATACATGTAATAAAATATATATAAAAATTAAAATTAAAATCAAACATATACATAAAAATAATCAAAATAAAATAAAAAATTGATATATTTTCATTTTATATGCATCATATTATTTTATAATAAGTATTAAAAAATTCATAAATCATTAAAAAATAAATAAAATAGATTTGTATTTGTATAATTATATACGAACTCATGGGTATTATTATTGGGGGGAGAATTGTCTAATACCTATGAAAATGAGTGGAATGGGATTCCCATAATTCAAGGTGAAAAAAAGTACTGCTAGTAATGTTTCATTACTTCCAGGTGACAATGTTTTTGAATTAAACGTGAGTATGTGATTTTGAAAAAGATTATACCTCTTGATAATGATCTTTCCCTTGATCCAAATGCCCCGTTAGGGGCATTTTCACGGACCGTAAGATTACCATTAGGAATAAGATTACCGAAACGTTACATTACATGACACATTACTGAGAATATTGTATTATCTAGTTTGGTTTGTTTAACATAAATATAATATTACAATGTTTGAATAAAAGAATATAAGATAAGAAAAATATATGTTTTACCAAATTACCCTTGGGATAGTTTTCTTTTTTAACAAATGAAAATTAATAGAAAATATATTTTTTATTATTTCTAATTTATATATTTTTAATAAATTTTATACGCAAATAATTTATTATATATACACAAATAATTTAATATATAATCACAAATAATTTTTAATAAAATTTGTTCACTAATAATTTAATATATATTTTACCAAGTGATAACACATTTTTTTCCAACAATAATCTATCAGATTTACTCTCGAAAGTTTGATTTTTCAACCTAAAATATGATTACAACTTAAAACAAGTTCGATATTTACAACCTAAAAACAAGTTCTAACTTAAAATATGGGTATCTAAAAAAAGTTCCAACTTAAAATATGGGTATCTAAAAAAAGTTCCAACCTAAAATATGGTTGCAACCTAAAAATAGTTCTCAACATAAAATATGGGTATCTAAAACAAGTTTCAGCCTAAAATATGATTACAACCTAAACACAAGTTCCAACTTAAAATATAGTTGCATCCTAAAAACACATTCCAACTTAAAATATGGGTACCTAAAACAAGTTCTAAACTAAAAGATGGTTGCAACCTAAAACCAAGTTCCACCTTAAAATATGAGTAACTTAAACTATGGGTATCTAAAACAAGTTCCAACCTAAAATGTGATTGCAACCTAAAAACAAGTTCGAACTTAAAATATGGATATCCAAAACAAGTTGCAACCTAAAAACAAGTTACGACTTAAAATATAGGTATCTAAAACAAGTTCCAACCTAAATATGATTGCAACCTAAAATATGGGTATCATAAATGAAAGGGTAATTTTGAAATATTTCATTTATTTTAAGGGTATTTCTATCTATATCAACAAGAATTGTTAAATACTTAATAATTACAAAAGAATGCTTTATAAACCAAACATGGGTATATGATTCTGAAAAAGATTATTCCCCTTAATAATGATCTTTTTCTTGATCCAAACACCCCTTACAATCATCCTCCATCGCCGTGATGGTTGCCATTCATTTACAGACGCGGTTAGCCTTGATGGTTATGTAACAGATAATTGCACCAAAATCTCTCTTTTCAATCTCTTTGTGTTCCATCTACACAAGCAGGAAATGAGGAAACGATCTGCAAAAGTCGAAGCTAAATGGGTGATCAACCATTGGCACATTCACAACTCTGTTTACCAACAAACTGGATTCCATCAATAAGCTTATCAAGAGAGCAATTAAGAGGAATAAGTCTTCATGAAGTCTCGTATTTAATTTGTATTTGGTATTTGTCACGGTCGTCTTTCGGGTGAGCCCGAAATTAGGATTTGACTTGAATTAAATGTGTTAGAGTCGTCACTGACAATTTTAAAACGATATTTAGGTAGATCAGACACTATTTTACCTGATCTGCATTTCACCAGAAATGTGTCAGGTTCGGAAGTCGGTTACAGTCAAGGAAAGATTAACACCCTTGTACTGTCTTTCGGTACCAATTAATTTGTCGGTTGTCTTAATGGAGAAAAATTAAAAATTAAAAAAAAAACTTGATTCGAATTACTTACCTTCGATTGATTAAAAATTTCCCTTTGATGTCTCGTTTCTCCGATGGTGCATGGAGGCTCCGATGACCCTTTGGCTTCCGACCTTTCAAACTGAGGTGTGTTTCTATTTTTCCTTCGGTATTTG